GCGAATGTTCTTGAAAGAGCTAGAAAATTTAGATGTTTGTCGGATTGCACGTGTAACCGCACATCTCTGCGACTGCGTTTGCGCTTCTTTATGTATGCGCTTGCGCCTGTGTTGTGTTTGTGCATTTGCGTGACTGTGTGACTAGTTTAAATGAAGTTTAGAGAATATCCTGGGAGCATGGAGTGTTTTTTCACATCTGCTCTATTCCCAACTCCTGTTCCGCTTCCCTCTTTAAGCTCCTGTGGGCGCGTTCAGTGCTCGGCCCTTGCGTGGCCTGCGATGGCAGCTGTGCCCAGTGGGGATGCCCGTCGCCATGGCAATTTTGAGCATCTGTGTGCTGTTTCCACGGCCATTTTTCCCTGTGACGTTGTGTTCGAGGCAGGCTGTCCTTTGACGACATAATAGAGGCAAGCTGTTCTCTAATGTTGCTTGAAGCAGGCTGTCCTCTGATGTTGTGCCAGATGCAGGCGGCTCCTGAAGCTGATTTAGGGGCAGCCTGCCCTCTGACCACATGATTGCGACGGGCCATCCTGTGACAACATGATTGGTTGCGATGGGCCATCCTGTGACGACATGACTGAGATGAGCCGTTCTGTGACGACATGATTGGTTGCGATGGGCCATCCTGTGACGACATGATTGGTTGTGATGAGTCATCCTGTGACGACATGATTGAGATGAGCCATCCTGTGACGATGTGATTGGTTGTGATGAGCCATCCTGTGACGATGTGATTGGTTGTGATGAGCCATCCTCTGATGTTTTGCTAGACACAGGCAGTCCTATGACATAGTGTCAGAGGTGGCCTTTTAGAAGTTGAATGGAGATCATACGTTTATGTTCTGCTTGTTAGCAGAACAGTAAGTGACTTGTCTCAGGACGGCTTGTGCCATAACTTAACTTTTGTGTCCCATTTGTCCGCAAATACTGTTTGCCAATGTGACACAAGTTATCATGTGACTGTCTCTTTTAGTCCCGCTCTCTCTCTCTCTGTTTCTCAGTCTGTTACATGCGTACTTGCACAGGACTGCTGATCTCATTTTATTTGGCTTACCCTGGTACCCTCCCACCAACTCCCAGCTGCAAACCTGTTCCTGCCTCTTTCATTTCCGCTCATGTCTTCAGTCTTTCTCTCTCCCTCACCTCGACTCTCTCGTCCTCCCTCCCCCATCCCACTCCTTCCTTCTCTCCCCCTCCTGAGCTTCTCTAACACGTCTCTGAACAGGCTCTCTTAAGAGTGCTGAAGGCCCTGTCCTTTGCTTGCACCTTCACAGGAAAGGGCCTTTTTCCTGTTTCTGTGCTGCAGTGTGTGTGTGTGTGTGTGTGTGTGTGTGTGTGTGTGTGTGTGTGTGCTTGTGACCACTCGTGCACAACTGTGTGTGCACATCTCTCTGCTTTTTCTGCGCTTTCATGTGTGTGCTCATGTGAGTGTGTGCATGAGTGTAAGTACGTGCATGTATGTTACTGTAAGTGTGTGTTGATGCGTGGGACAGCCTGTGTTCTTGTGAGAGTGTCTCTGTAGTCATCTTTGCATGTCTTTGAGTTAGTGCATATGCCTGTGTGAGTGTGTGGGCTCCTGTGAGTGTATGTATGCGTGTGTGTGTGTGTGTGTGTGTGTGTGTGTGTGTGTGCGTGCCTGCAGAAGTGCCCGTGTGTGAGTGGCAGTGTGTGTCGGCCCCTGTTGTAGCAGAGGAGCCCTGCTGCTGTAAATATTTCAGCAGTAACTGATGTTACTCGGCGGTCTGGGCTCCCCCAGCGTCTGCTTTAAACATTCACTCACCGACTCTCTGCTTCCCAGCCCGCCCCGCCTAAGCACTCAAAACCGCCCTCAGCCAATCAGCCGCCATCTTCCCCACCTCCTGTCCCGGCTCCTCGGCGAGCCCTGCGCCCGGGTCCGAGACCTGACAGCCGCAGTACAACCCTCCAGGGGCGAGCGCAGCGGAGGGGGGGGGGAGAGAGTGGCGGTGCAGCTCGAAGACTGTGCGCCATTATCCCAGTTTGGGCTGAGGTTAATTTGGGTGTCTGCAATGGCGTAATGGCTGCCGCCCCTGCAGTGCGATTACAGGCAGAGGAGGAGTAATCACAGTGCCCTCTTTACCGGCCCTTCATAACAACTGCAGATTATTGCCACTCCGCTGCTCTTTGAAGTAAAAGCAAACAGCTCTTTAAAGCCCCTCTCCACATCAGGCCGTCCTCACACGGCACACCTATTTAAGGAAGAAACACTTATCCGCATCGTCCCCGGCTCGCCTTTTCTACATTCTCAGCTTTTATTTCTGACCGGAAACCCGGGAAAAATAGACTGGTCTCACGACAGGAGGGGAGGGGGGTTATTCACTGTGCTTATTATTTACAGTAATTTACCATCTGTATCAAGATGCATAAATAGGAGATGCATCACATATACAGTGCTTAACAAATTTATTAGACCATCACCTAACGTAAGGTTTATGCCACAGCTGCCCTAAATTAGCAGTATTGGTCATAACCAAAATCATTTTTTATGTTTCCGTAATGGTTAATCCACCAGTATGCGCAAGCTCTTCAATTGAAATGATAATTTTAATGCTAAAATATAATTATTGTTGTTATCCATGAATTTTCGAATTTACCATTTTACAAAAATGCGGAAAAAAAAGTTAAGCACGTTATTATTTTTTGATTAAGATGCCAAATAACAGTTATTTTCTTGCGTTCCTGAACATAAAAATTAGTTTTAGTGGTTGAATGCAAGAATGCAAGTTGTTATCAAGGCCAAAGGAGGCCATATAAAATAGTTTTTTTTTTTTTTTTGGTTTTTATGTGTGAATAAGGACTATTTAGTGGTTTCAGTTTGTTATTTGCCAATGAAAAAACAAAATGATTTTTAGTTTTAAACAAGTTTTTGACTAATTTCTTAAATATTTGTGTTTTCTGTTTTTTTTTTTTTTTTTTTTTAATGACAGGTGGTCTTATAAATTGTTAACCACTGTACGTTTTACTGTCTGCTGCAGAATATGGCTTTTTTTTGTCTTTTAAATTTTCAAAGAAATAATTTCACGTGTTTGTAGAAATACTGGCATGTGTGCATGTTAGTTTTCCTCTAGAGCACAAGTACCTGGAGTGTAGTGCGTCTCTCTGTGGATGGAGATGTGTGTATTTGTGAATGTTGTAACTGATCTCTCTGTGTGCGGGTGACTTAGTACCGTTACACTGCACCCTCCCTCAGGGGTCAGTGTCATCATGAAGCAGAGGCACTGACGTAGTCCTGCGTTCCTTGGCAGACCTTGCTGCCTCCAATGAGAGCGAGAGGAGGGGGGGTAACACTGCCCGCATCAGCAGACTGGCTTGCCTGTGCCCCCCCTCCCCTGATTTGCATGGCTACATCGCCGGTTTTGTCCTGGAGCACTCCCTATAAATAGCCTCTCAATAGCCGGCTGCCACGCAGAGACCTGCTCATCACAACTAATTGCAACTAAAAAGTACCCTCCTCTGTTTTCTCCACCCATCCTTTTTCTTTATTTGTTTTTTGTAGCTCTGTCCAGAACCTTTTTGTTTAGTTTACTTTGTTTTTTTTTCTTACCTTAATTGAGAATTTTACTCCATATATTTATTTTATTTTTGTTTAATGGCAGCCTTTTTGATGTCACAGTATACTTTTTGTGTTTCATAAGCAGGGTTTCCTCCAGGATTTTTTTGAAACTGGGGCGGAGGGCTTCAGCATCGGCTCAAAACTCAGCATTATCAGGTGTGGCCAGTTTTCATTAATCAGCACGCAGGCGATGTAATAGGCTAATTGAAGTCTATGTGCACGGAGGTTTATCAGTTTCACGTGCGTGACGGTGGATTTCCCATAATATGAAAACCGATTATGACTCCGGACTCCGGAATTGGAATTAAATGATCATGAAGACACAATTAGGTAGAGCAGGCTGTGCTCACAGCAAACACAGAAGTTAACATCGTAGTTTATCGTTTTGCAAAGTGAACAAAATATTTTTTATCTAATCATTGCACACATTGCATTAAGTAGAAAGAGGCGCGTTTTACTGCCGATGGCCAATTTTTATTCATTGGAGAACATGTTCATCAAGCAAAATGATTGAAAACAGGTCAAGAATTATTAGCGCTCATTTTAACTTAACAAGGAGAACTGGCGACACCTGATTACCCTTAGGATTTTTGGAGTTTATGTAAAGTCATTTTACACAGGGGTGGCGACTTTTATTTTGCCGTGGCGGTGTGCCACGATCAATTACATGAAGCAGAAACCCTGATAAGTACTTGCCCCATCCTTATTGTGCGAGTAGCCCTGTCTGCTGTTAGTAAGCCTTGCCTGTGAAGAGTCTGGCTCGCCTGTGCTTGGTCGGGCTGTGGCTTATATTTAATGTAGCCACAGATGCCTCTGAATGCGGTCACTGCAGCTCCTGACTGCGGCCACTGCAGCCTCTGAACTCATTTTCCCAGAATCCACGCTCTCGTCTCCAAAATGGCCGACTCTATGGAGGAGATGACATGTAATGTGGGGGATGAGGGAGAGGAAGTGCTCATTTTCTCGCTGACAGGGTTTCCTTCCCCGTCTGTCCTGACTGCTGGAGTTAGTGGTAAAACCACTAAAAGTACAGAACATAAACAGAGTCTGAGAGGATAATTGGGGGAATCATGCTGCGTGGCTTGATTATAAACGCCTGACCAACAACATAACATTTGAGTGATTTTGTGTGGGTAGCTCTTGTTCTTTGTGAGTGAAGTATGCGCGTGTGTGTGTGTCCAAGTTTGTTAGTTGACATTGTTTCTGCAGCTCTTTGAGTGATTTTGTTTCTGTTGTCTGGCCATTATCGTGTGTGCGTTTGCGCGCTTCAGTTTATGTGTGTGTAATGGCGTCTGTGTGTCGTGGCGTCCTTCTGTGTGTCTGTGTTTGTCTGTCTGTGCTTGTTTGGGCAGGCTCTCTGCCTGGGTCACAGTGATCAATCTTACTGTGGGGTTTTTACTGATTTGTACTGATGGTGTGCATATTGTGGGGCGGCATGGCTCAGGAGGTAAAGCGGCTAGGCTAAATCGGGAGGTCCCTGGTTCGATCCCCAGTTCCTCCAGAGAACGTGTCGAAGTGTCCTTGAGCAAGACACTGAACCCCACACTGCTCCTGATGTGCAGGTTGGCGCCTTGCACGGCAGCCTCCGCCATCAGGGTGAATGAGAGGCATAATTGTAAAGCACTTTGTGTCATCTGATAGACAGGCGCTATATAAATGCAGTCCATTTACCATTTACCATATCTGTATGTGTGTGTGTCTGTCTGTCTCTGTATATGTGTCTGCATGATTCTGAGGTCAAGCTTTCCTTGTGTCAGGCGCTGTTATTAATCTTACTTTGGGATATTTATACTAATGCGTGTGAGATTGCATTTGTGCGTATGCTGTGTGTGCATGCGTGTGTATGTTTGTGTGTGTGTATGCACTTTGACGCATGCTACTGTGTATGTGTGATTGTGTTGTGTTTTGTGTGTTTATGTGAGGTCAGGCTGTGCGTGTCAGGCCCTGTTAATTAATCTCACTCTGGGGTGTGTATGCATGTGTCTGTATGTGTGAAATTGCACTTGTGTTTATACTGTGTGTGATTCCTTGCGTGTATGTGTGTTTCAAAGCACCCCTCCTCATCTGTGTGTGTGTGTGTGTGTGTGTGTGTGTGTGTGTTCGCGCGGGCATGCTTTGATGCTTCCCTCTGTGTTCGTGTGTTTGCGTGTGTTTATGTGCGGTCAGGCTGTCGGCGTGTCAGACGCTGTCATTAATCTCACTGCGGGGGTGCGCGGAGGACACCATGTGACCCCTGGTCTGAGAGCCGGTGTCTTTGTGCGGCGAGACCCTGTCCGCCCTTTGGGCCCCGACCCTCAGCCCCACAGCCGGGCCCTTTGTGTGGGGGTCTGGGAGCACTCTGACCTCCTGCCCAGACGACCGTCTGGGTCACAGCATGATGTGGGAGGGGTGCAAGGGCAGGTCTGTGTCAGCCGGCTGTGTCCTGCTGCCCAAACCCCTCCCCAACCCCAACTGTGACCCCAGTTACACTTCACCTTGGAAAAAAGAGCCCACTTCTCATTTTATGGTGATAATTCTCAATGACAGGAACTTGGACGCTCATTCTGCATGCAGTTAAAAAAAATCCTCACCCAGCCCCCTCCCCCATTCAGTTTTATTCCTGTGAAATCATTTAATCTCCCAGGACACATTTCAGGAGCTTTGGGGTGGGGGAATGAGTCCCATCAGCAGTGACCAATCACAATAATGCTGCATAAAATTGTATTGTATTGTATGTGGAGTAAATACGCCTGCAAGCTCATTCTGATTGGATGTTCAGACGTGCGAATGAGATGTACGCAGTCTTTCATTAGGGTCAAGACCTCATGGGGACGCAGTTATAGTGGATTTGATTTGTGGGCTGCTTTGGCAAGTGCCAGATGGGGCAGAGTACATTACTGGTGTTGGTGTCAGTTTAATACCAAGGGCAGCAGTTTGAATCGGAACATTGTGCTGATGCTGATGGGGAGGCCTTGCACCTGGCAGCAGCATGCTCTGTGCTGCTCTGGAGCAGTTTCCTGGCCCGTCAAAGAAGGCCAAGGTGAAACAGTGCTGAACACAGCCAATCGGGGAAGGCCACAATGAAATGCTGATGGACACAGAGCCGATCAGAAAAGACCAAGGTGAAACACTACTGAACACAGCCAATTGGAGAAAGCCAGGGTGAAACACTGCTGAACACAGCCAATCAGAGAAGACCATGGTGAAACACAGCTGGACACGGAGCCTGTCAGAGAAGACCTAGGTGAAACACTGCTGAACACAGAGCCAATTAGAGAAGGCCATGGTGAAACACTGCTGAACACAGCCAATTGGAGAGGGCCAAGGTGATAGACTGCTGGACACAGAGCCAATCAGAGAAGGCCAAGACGAAACACTGCTGAACACAGCCAATCAGAGAGGGCCAGGGTGAAATACTGCTAGACACAAAGCCAATCAGGGAAGGTCAGTGAAGAACACTACTGTACAGCCAATCAAAGAATGTCAATATGAAACACTGCTAAAAGCAGAGCCAATCAGAGAAGGCCGGGGGTAAATTGCTACTTAACACAGAGGCAATCAAAGAAGGTCAAGCTCAAACTTTGCTTAACAGGGAATGAATCGGAGGAGGTTACGCTGAAACACTGCTGAATATAGAGCCAGTCCGAGAGGGCCAGAGGTTGGACACCACTGAGCACAGTGCCAATCAAAGAAGGTGGAGGCGAAACACTGGTGAACAATGAACCAGTCAAAGAAGGCTGGGGTAAAACATCTCTGAGCACAGAACCAATCAGAGAAGGCTGGGGTAAAACACAGCTGAACACAGCCAATCAGAGAAGGCTTTGGTGAAACATCACCACCTGTCTATGCTGGCCACATTGTTCTCTGTTTACGCATCGGGAGAGTTCTGTTGATTTGATGTGGCGACGGGTTGACAGGATTCTCTATAATCGCCACTGGGGACACCCCCCAGAACCTCTGTAGGTCTGTGTTCCCGTGTTCCCCCTACATGATGAGCACCCGAGGGAAAATAGCGGCTCATCGCCGGAGTTTTCCCTCATTCATCACAGCCGCAGTGTGTCTTTGTGTGGAGGCGTGTCATCAGAAGGGTCATGCCTCCTGGCTCTGTTAGATGGGCTTTGCGTCGGCCAATCGGCTGAGGAAGGCAGTCTGGGGTCAGCCCCGCCCCCTGTGTATCACAACTCTGGATGGGCAGGATGAATCAGCGTGACACCTCTCCGAGTAATTCTGATAATCGATTACAGTGTGGCCGCGATTGACACTTCCCTGTTGTTTGTATTCTGCACACTGGATGGAGGCCAGCTCTCATTTCTACCTCACTGCTAAATGGGTATCGGTCAGTGATGAAAATAAATGTACAACGATCATCAAAATACGCATAAAACGATTACTTTATTTCGAAGAGGAGGTATACCATGATTAACACTAAATATAAAATCATCACTTTTGAAAGGGAAAAAGTGAAATGATTGTATAAATGACTTCATCCTCATTACTGATAAGTGAGCCATTACTTATTGGCATTTATGATTTCAGTTCCTGACATTACGGTTCTTTCCCCCTATACTCTTCTCTTCTGCTGTTAGTGAAAATGTACTGACTGCTCAATTAACAGGCCTGTTTGCACTGAATGGGGGTGCGGAACCATGAACACTGAGGCCTTTGTTTTCCCTCCTGGAAAGGAAATGCAAGCACTGCCTTTTCTGTTTGCCTTTGCCTACGGCCACTACGGCTGCTGCAGTCCCCCGATCAGTCTAAGCACTGCTTTACGCTCCGCTTGTAAACGGCTTCTGTGTGTTTTACCCTGTCTCTGCTCTGTATTTCTGGAGTATGTCAGCTGAACTTCGTGTATGAAGCCTGAGAAATAAAGAGGAAAATCTTTCAGGAGTAAAGGCCATCTACGGAGAGAACGGGGAGGTTTTGCTTGTGGGTGTGGATAGCTGGGTACTTGTGGTTTAATTTCTGAGAACAGTACTCACTGAGACTGTGTTCAGTCGGATCAGACGGCTTTGAGAGAGCCTCTTCGTTAAAGGTGATCTCTGATGCTGGCTTGTTGGAGCCAGCCAAACCTTTTCTGGTGTTTTCTTTTTACCCAGTGTATTAAACCTTTGAAGTGTTGGTTAGACTGTTTTCTACTACATTCCATATGGGCGATCTAGAGCTTGATTTCTTTCAATTATCTGTGATGATTGTTGCATAATAGAATTTTTTGTACATTCTAATCTCATAATTTTTGATCCTGCACCTTCAAGGGTCTGCAAAAATTGGAAATTGGGTTCATCGCTTAAAATTCCAGTTAATTTTATAAATGTAAATAATTCAAATTTTTACCCTAAGAAGCTGCCCAGGCGCATTTCATCCTTTAAAGTTTTTTTTTTTTTCGAAGAAAAGTGTGCAACACTCTCTGGGAGCCGTGTGTTTTTGAAGCCTGATTGGTTGGGCCTGAACAGCCCAGTGGCAACATAACCCACCCGCCCCACCCCCGAACCCCGGGACGAAGTGCTCGTCGCCGCTTGTAAATATTTAAATCGATCATTTCTGCGAGGCGTGCGGCTCCCCCGTTTGCAGGCAGCATTAAAGATGCATGGCAGCAGGAGGCTGGCGAGCTCTCCCCACGATTAGGAGCGCCACGGGAGGCCCTCGCCCGGCTGCAGCCGCTGGCCCCGGAGCTACGCTAATCCAATCAGCTTCTGCATCGCAGCCCGGCTCTTTAAGGCTTTAATTAACACTTTTGATTCATTAATACCTCTATTTTTGATTCATTTATTAATTTGACGCATTAACTACTTTCATTTATTTAGTGCTTCGTAATTGTTTGGAGAGTGTCCCAATTTTAACGGCCTTTAATGCTGGATCGCTCCGTATGGGTGTGCTGTAAAACTGGTAAATTAATCTGAGCTTTAATTTGAGGGAATGTGTGTCAATACGATGTGAACACTGGCTGAATAACAGTCAGTTAAATTTGTGTTGAGATACAGTACTTCAGGACTGGGCTGTGTAAGCCATTTGACTGTATGTTGTTGACTGTAAGGTCTGTGCCGTTGTGTGAGGCGATGAAAGGCGGCTCGCTGCACTCAGACAGGGAAAATGCCGAGGCTTAGAGCGTCTGAAACTCCCCCGTCTGCTGTGATTAACTGTGAAGACGAGACGGAGAGCCGAATGTGTGCTGCCTCTCCTTCACTCTTTCTCTGCCTCCTTCCCTCCCTTCTGCCTTTTATCTCTCCATCTCACTCAGTTCTGTCCCTTCCTCTCTCTCTATCTCTTTCTCTCCATCCTTTCTTTTCTGCTTGTTGTACTCTCTCACTCTCCTTCACTTCCTCCCTCTCTCATTCTCTCTGCCTCTCTCTCTCTCTCCCCCTCTCTCTCCTACCCTATCTTGTCTGCCTCTCTCTCATTTGTCCTCATCTTTCCCGGCTCAACGAGACACAACCACCTTTTTCCTCTCAAACTATTTCTGCTCTTATTTATTTTTATACTCTGAGTGAACCGTTTGGCGTAGTGAGTCACGCGTCTCCGTCCTGA